TGGTCCCCGAGGAGGCTTCTCGCGGGGAACCAACTCTTTTCGGTCGACTCTGAAAACTCGGCTCGGCCAGCTTGTTAGGTTTTGTTGACACTTCTACTCGGGCTTGGTTCCGGAACTCGGCCAATTCCTCCATCTGCATGTACTTGTCGGCTCGCCGACGCAAATCATCCATGTTTGTAGGGGGTTTCTTACAAATGTTGTTGGCAAAAGGCCCTGGCTTCAAGGCAGTGGTAAGGTGGTGTAGAGCTACAGCAGGGTTTAAGTCTCGAATTTCGAGCGCCGCTTTGTTGAATCGGCTCATGAATGTCCGAAGAGATTCCTTCTTCTCCTGACGAATGCTGATTAGTGCCAACGAGGTCAATTGGTGAGGCCGACTGGTAGCAAATTGAATTGTGAACTGGGAAGCCAACGTACTGAACGAATCGATCGAGTTGGCCGGAAGCCGAGTAAACCAACTCAGTGCTCGTCCCTTTAAGGATGTTGGGAAGATTCGGCATAGAGCAGCATCATCGTTTGTGCTTAGAGTAACTTGAGTCAAGAACACATCCACGTGTTCGTCTGGATCGGTAGTGCCATCATACTTGTCTAAGGGCAAAGACTTCCAATGGTCAAGGAGTGCCATCTGCATGATGTTCGGGGTAAAAGGATGCCGATGTGCTCCGGCCGGCAAAGGCTGGATCGGTCGGCCGACCGAAGCATGCGCAGCTGGAGCGGCGACGGAGGTGTGGGGAAGAGAAGAGTGAGGGCCCTGCGAGTGGAACGACCCCTGTGTGTGAGTTGTCTCAGATGGTTTCCATGTGGGATCCCGGTATTGATTTTTCAGCGCAGCATTCTCTTCTCTCAATGCAGCCATCTCGGCAGCATCTCTCTCTCGCTGTTGTTTCATGGCGATCATTTCTTCCTTCATCTGGCGCACCATATCGGTCAAGTTTGTCTCCTCAACCGTCTCGGCCCCGGACTGATGCTCGTCTTCAGACTGTTGCCCTTCAAAATTAGTATTCCTTGTCTTTACCATGATTCTTTTACTCGTAAACTTTCAGTGCTTCTGCAATGCTATTGGTTCGGCCCCACGGTGGGCAACAAAATGTACCTGCTTAAGGATACACTCGTAGTCTTCTTGGTAAGAAGGGCCGAACGGATACTTCAAACGGATTCTTCAGAGGGGGGAGGTACCTGCAAAAGGCACTCCAACGCTCAAGTCAGGATAAGCACGATATTCTAGGATAATTAATGAACAGTGACATACCTTGTTATGTGTGACCTATTTATAGCATCTGACATGGGCCTGAGCGTGATGGGCCCTCTCAGATATTTACCAAATTAGGTAATACGGTACTAATTGGTTGTTAGGCTTTAATCATGTACTTACCTTTCTTAATTGTGATTACCATTATAACTTGTTTAACCCTTCGGCAAGAGGCCGAGCCGACTATTCAATACTAGTCGGAACGGCAAATGACCGAGCCGTCTAGTCCGTATACGGCAGCTTGTATACTTCTGGTTTGATCTATGTCGGAACGGTACTTGACCAAGCCGACTCGATGAGTGATGATGGTCCATATTGGCATTAACCAGACTGATGTCGGTTCTCGGCCTCATGCCGAGCCGACGTTGATGGTAATGCTTGTACGTGGCTTACTATGCATGAGTGCCTGGCGAAATGGCACGTGTTGGCCCACGTGACCGATACGGTCTCTCCGGTACATTTCTCAAGAGGAAATTTTGTGTATCCTCTTATAAAGAAAAAAAATATGTGTCAACACATAAAATTATCAAGAAAAATATTATTAAAGTTTATCAATTAGTCACAATATGACACAAGAGGAAATTTTGTGTATCCTCTTATAAAGAAAAAAAATATGTGTCAACACATAAAATTATCAAGAAAAATATTATTAAAGTTTATCAATTAGTCACAATATGACAAACACTCGACTTCATATGAATGACCAAACTTATTTATTATATTGAGATATTCTAATTTCTATTCCCATTCTTATGACGAGATGTATTTTTTTAAAAATTACAACAATTGTAAGGTTGAAATATTCAAATATTTATATTTATTGTGTTAAAGTTAAAATATCTCTTAATGAACATGACGACAATAATTATGAGAATGAGAGTCACTGGTCACCATTTTAAATGTTCACTTAGTGAGTGTGATGGTGGGGTCACCACTATGAGGTATGGACAAATCTTGAAGTAATATTTCACAAAACAAGATGCACCATTGATTAGAACTAAAAAAAATGAATACTTATATTATTTGTATTATGTTTCAAAGTCTGAAAATAAACACATATATTATTTATATTATGTTCCAAAATCTAGTTAAAGGTAATATGGTTTAAGACAATAAATCTCTATATTTTTCTCATATAAAAGTTTATATATACTACCTATAAGCCTCAAACCTAGAAAGTTTCTTATGCCAAAAAAAAATAATGTCATATTTCATTAAAAATTATTTTTTAAGATTTTTATATAATTTTGATTCTTTATTTAAATTTTAAATTAGTTTAGAACTGTTGAAAATTTTATTATAATTAAAATTTTATATTTAATTACTTATCTATTACAATATTTTATTTAATTATTTATTAGCGGTTTACAATCTGTGAAGGGTTCAGTTCTTACTCTTGTGTACGATATTGTTTTTATTGTTGTACACGTTAGAAAATTGGTTGTTGCGGTGTTGCATGGTTGTTTTGGATTATTGCATGATTCTAGTATTGTGGCCACGTGTACTAAGTATATAAATATATATTATCTCTCTTATTTAAAAATTTTCTTATTTCTAAATATATTTATGAAACAATATTTTTTTCAAAGATTCTTGAAAATATAAAATAATTTACCAGTGAGATGTTTTTTCTCTAAGGATAACATCTAGCATGTTCAAATCCAAATTTCTTTACTTTTATTATTTTATTTCAGTCATCAATTATTATTTAATTTTATTATTTGTTAATGTTAATCTTATATAATTTTAATGATAAATCAATCTCCTTATATATTAAATACGAATTTCTATTTTGTATAAGAGTAATTTTAGAACTTTTTCTTCAATGTGAAGTTTGTAGGAATTTCTTATTTAATTTGATTTTCATTTATCATAATTATTTATTAATTAAATATTAATAGTTTAAAATGTATTATCAATAAATAAATAAAAATTACAATACAAAATATTTATCATAAATCTAAAATATAATTTATATATCTATAGTATAGGTAAAAGTAATTTTTAGTAATAAATATTATGTCACTATAAAATATGTATCACTACATAACAATTTTTTTGTAGTACTATCCTAAGTAAATGACATAACAATTAATATTTAATAATATTTTAGCTAAATTTTCTTTTTAGTTCTCATTTTTATCTTATAAAAGTGATAGAATGAAATGCAAATACAATGAAAATGAGAAGTAAAAGTGTAATTTAATTTAAACATTATTAAATAATAATTATTGTGTTATTTATATAATACGAGATTATAGTGAACGAATGAACATTGTATGAAAGAATCAAAATTATAGATTTTATGAAATTGAGAAATTAAAATTACAAATTTAAAAATAGAGAAATCAAAATTATGAGTTTGATATTATAAAAAAATCAAAAAAGTGTTATTTAACCTTTTAATTATATATTAAAGGTACATAATATTCACGATTTTCTCAATAAGTAATATATGTGAACAACAAAAAAAACTATTGTAAAAAAAATAGGAAACTTAACTTATCATTTTAATAGAATCTATTTTTTCAAAAAAAAAAAATTCATTCTCAAAAATCTCAAATTCAATACTTCACTTAAAAAAACCTAACCCAGTTATACTTGGATTTAAGGAAATATAACATAACACGTACTGTAGTTGATATGTGGTCTAGGATTAATATAATCTTTATTAATATCCACATGATATATAAAAAAAACATAAACAAATATTACTTAGAGATTAATTACATAATTTCTCTATAATTCACAGTACTATTGGTGAACGCATTTACTCTTGCATGGTACATGCAGAAGAAAAAGTAAAAAAAAAAAAAAAAAAAAAGGTTTTTGGGTGTAAGGGAAAGCAAACAGTGGCCATAAGAAGAAATTATTGGCAGCGGCAATAACAAGGACAGAGGATAATGTCTGTCTCATTCTCAAATAAGTTTGAGCAACCAAGGTTCCAGGTAGCTTCATTTTTATGTTTGTTTCTTCATCAATTGCCTTTATCATCACTATCATGTTATCATCACTATCATGATAGTTATAACTTTGCAATTAATATTTAGAATATATATGTTAGGTATGGCAAACAACGCCTTTATACTAAAGCTTCCTATGTTAGTTTAAAATAGTGTTGCTTCAAATTTGTATAATAATAAATATGATTTTTTTTTAGATGTTATTCGGTATAAGATTTTAAAATAATTTACTTTTTTGTTGGACTCTGATCTCGGAAAATTTACTCAATCTAGTTAACATATTTTACAGGAGTTTTTTTTTTTTGGGAAAAATCAATTATCATTTTATGGGGGGGAAAGTCTTAAGATTTCCTTTAAATTATATTGACTATACTGTTCTTTAACTTATTATTAAGAAAATTTATTAAAAAAAATATATTTTTCTGGAAAAAGAAAAATCTTCCCAATATAAACTCAACTAAAATACGAGTGGAATTTAAAGCTCCAAATAAGTACAAGATATATAGACCTAATAATTGAAACCGAAACAGAACCTAATTAGTAATGTGTGGTCTACCTTATAGTATATCTAAAATTTTATTGATGTCTTCGGAATATCCTCACATATATATATATAACGATATTG